GGGTAGAGCAGAGCGGGGTGAGGTGGAACAGGATGGAACAGGATGAGATGGGGTGAGGTGGGTGGGATGGCATCAAATGGGACAAGGTAGGATGAGGTCGCTGAGACAGAACAGAGGGGTGGGATGGGACAGGGTATGACAGGATGAGGTGGGATGGGGGAGGACAGGCTGTTGTGGGTGGGAGTGGGACAGTGTGATGGGACAGGGCAGGGTGGGACTGGATGTGATGGGATGGTGTGGGGCTGGGGTCTCAGCCAGCCCAGGCTGAACTCTCCTCTCCTGCAGTTCAGGACATGATCCGCGTCACGGTGCAGCCGGAGTCACAAGTGGTGGCGGAGGGGACGCGGGTGTCCCTGACCTGCTGGGCGACCGGCCCACCCGGGCTCACGTACCAGTGGTTCTGTGGGAGGCAGGAGGTGAGGCCCTGCTGTGCCGCGCCGAGCAGGGCCCCGGCTCCCGTCTGTGGTGAGGGCACCCGGACGAGGGGGAGGACGCCCCCGATTCCTTGGCCCCTTCCCGTCCCGTAGGTGCCCGGAGCCACGGCTCCAGAGCTGGTGATTGACACAGCCGCCCCTCCGGGCCAGCCCGAGTGGTACATCTGCCGGGTGAACTGTGGGGCCACCTTCGCCTTCTCCAGGTGGGCCCACGTCCAGGTGGAGAAGAGCAGCAGCCCCAGCTCAGGTGGGCCCCGAGAGCTGCGCCCGCGGGCTGGCACCCGTGGGGCACCACTCACCCCGGGTAGCTCCCGCAGGACACTGCTCGACCCACTGGAACTGTGGTGGCTCCGGGAGGGCATCGCTTGCCATGTTACATCCTGGCTCAGCGCAAGGGGCTCTGGGCTGGTGGGGGGTGGTGCCCACAGAGGAGCTGAATGCCCTGTGTCTGCCAGGGGCTGTGGGTGAGGAACCTGGGGCCCGCGAGCAGTCCACGGAGGTCTTCCATGGCTGGGTGCTGAATTTGCCACCCCATCCCCTCCCCAGCCAGCGGTTATTGCCCAACCATGGTGGGGCTGCAGATCCTGCGGCAGCCACGGCCGTGCCGTCTGGCCGAGGGGGACACACTGGTGCTGGAGTGCAGAGCCATCGGCAACCCCCCGCCCCAGTATCAGTGGTTCAGGAACTGGTGCCCTGTGGAGGGTGCGCAGGCACCCCGGCTCCAGGTATGGTGGGACATCCAGCGCGGCACAGTGTGGCACAGCACTGCACGGCACGGCACGGCGTGGCACACCACGGCACACCACGGCACACCACCCCAGCTGCCGCTCGTCCCACTGGCAGGTGAAGCTGGTGACCACGGCCGAGCGGGGCAGCTACTCCTGCCGCGTGTTCAACCTCTTCCACGAGGTGTGGAGCCAGGACGTGGATGTGGAGATCGGTGAGACCCCGGCGACCTCTGTGGTCCCCCACTTCTTGTGGGCTGTCCTGCCTCCAACTTGCCACACCATAAAGCCCCCCAGTGGCTGCCCCATGGTTCTGGGGGGCTCCAGCCTGTGCCAGGAGGTGCGGCTGCCATGGGGGTCCCTGACGCCTCCCTTTGCCACAGGCCCACGGCTCTTCACCTCTGGAGGCTCCTGGCAGGAGGGGGACGGAGGTTGGTGAGGGCAGAGCAGGCAGGTCCCCGCTGCACTCCCCAGGCCCTGTGGGGCCATGGCACGGTGTTTCTCTTTCCAGGCTCCCCAGATCGTGGCAGCCCTGGCCAGCTGTACGGTAAGAGCCTGCCCAGGAGGGGCTGGTGGTCCCGTGGGGCCGTGATGGTCCCCAGTGTCACTGCTGTCACCCCACGAGGCTCCACTTGTCCAGAAGTGCTTTGGGTGCAGCACTCTGGGGAGAGTGGAGCAGCGAGGCAGGGATGCCACGGGGCACCCTGGTACCTGGGGACAGCAACACCCACCACAACCGGGTGCCACCTCTGTGGGCTGAAGGGAGCGGGGACAGCAAGAGCGTCCCACTCCATCCCCAGCACCTCCCTCTCCCATCCCAGCAGCCACCGACAAAGTGGCCCTGCTCATCGGGAACATGCACTACCTGCACCACAAGCAACTGAAGGCGCCCATGGTGGATGTGCACGCCCTGGGCGCCCTCCTCCGCCAGCTCGACTTCAAGGTGGTGTCTCTGCTGGACCTGTGCAAGGCTGAGATGCAGATGGCTGTCAACGAGTTCCTCCTCCTCCTCGACAAGGGCGTCTATGGTGTGGCAGCACCCGCTGGGGCAGCCCCAGCCAGGGGGGAACCGGGTGGTTTTGTGCTGGCGGGGTCTCGGGGGGCAGCTGGGCAAGAAGTGGACAGGTCAAGGAATATCACCATCTCTCTGCCAGGTTTGCTCTACTATGCTGGGCACGGCTATGAAAATTTTGGCAACAGCTTCATGGTGCCCATCGACGCCCCCAGCTCCTACACCTCCGTGCACTGCCTGTGCGTGCAGCGGGTGCTGCAGCGCATGCAGCAGCGCCGCACCGGCCTCAACATCTTCCTGCTCGACATGTGCCGCAAGAGGTGACTTGGCCCCGGCCACCAGGCTGGGGACGAGCGGCCACACTTGGGGGTCCCGACCCGGGGGTACTCGTGGGTGCTGATTCCCAGGGGAGTGGAGCGGGGCATCCCTGGGGTCCCATACAAACCTGCTGGGTTTATCCGGGTGCCCCGGAGCGTCACTGCAGCATCTGACCAGCAAATGCCACGATGGGTGGGCAGAGGGGCACGGGGCAGTCCCTGGGATCTGGGGCACCATGAGGTGGGTTTGGAGGGGCAGAAGGTCTTGACTCTGTCCAGCAATGCTTCTCTTGCAGGAATCTCAATGACGACATCATCCCACAGGTCGGGGCACTGCAGGTCACAGCCAACATCGTCTTCGGCTACGCCACGTGGGTCCCTCCCCACCATGCCCCAGCACAGCAGCGGGGCTGAGTGTCCCTCTGGCTCAGAGCCAGGGCAGGGCTCAGCCCTGTTTGCACCCACATCTCCCACCCGTATGGGCAGTGTCGCTCCCTCTGGTCGATGCTGGAGGTGGTGGGCGAGCAGCAGCCCCCAGTCCCTTACAGGGCAGGGAGATGCCCATGATGCTGTTCGGCTTTGGACAGCACCCAGGGGGGAATTAAGCCCTGAGGCTCCTCTGGATCACAGGGATTTGGACTAGTGATGCTCGAAGCATCCAGGATCTGGCTGTGGCTCCCACCTCTCCCCAGCACTGTGGCTGGCTGGATTGATGGGAGCGGGTAGAGCTGTGGGCGCCTGGTTCTGGCTTCCCCAGGGCTGGGGGAGTGACTGAGCCCACGACGGAGCTGACCACTGTCCCATCCCCACAGGTGTGCCGACGCCGAAGCCTACGAGCTGAACCAGGGTGAGCTCTCCAACGGCATCTTCGTCACCTTCCTCAAGCGCTGGCTGCTGGAGGACGAGAAGATCACGGTGCTGCTGGACAAAGTGGCTGAGGGTGAGTGGGAAGTGGTGGGAGGCAGCAACCCCCCCAGCAGCCCCGGCTGACCCCCCTGTGTCCCTCGCAGACATGGGCACGTTGGAGATCACGCGGGGCCGGCAGGCACTGGAGCTCCGCAGCAACCTCTCGGAGAGACGAGCTCTGACAGACCCCATCCGCCCCCCAGGCCGGGATGAGTCCTCGGCCAGGAACCTGCAGTGGGCCAAGGCCCACGGTGAGTCACGGCCACCCCGCCCAGAGCTGGCACCCAGGGCAGAGACAGCCCCGAGTGGCGGGGAGAGGCTGTGCACAGCAGAGACAAACTGCTGGCACAGAGCCACCAGCCCGGGGGCAGGAGCATCACGTCAGTGTCCCAGCTCCAGGGTGACCCCAGTGGTCGCCTCACCTGCGGGTGCAGCTCCAGCCCCCAGCTCTCTGTCCCCTCCCCAGTCCTGCCGGAGAGCCGACACCTCCGCTTCGACTGCGGCGTCACCGTCCAGCTGGGCTTTGCTGCCGAGTTCTCCAACATCATGATCATCTACACTCGTGTGCTGGCAACCCCCGAGGACATCACCAAGTGCGAGGCCAAGCTCACCGACATACCCGAGGTGGGAGCGGGCTGCTGAACCCCGTGCTGGGGCGATGCTGGGGAACACGTGGTGGTTTCCACGGCTGGATGCTCTCTGTGGCAGGAGCTGGACGTGGACCTCAAGTGCACCAACAAGGAGAGCCCGGAGGAGGTGGGCAGCCCTCTGGCACCTGCCTGGAGCCTCGACTGCCCCTCCTGCTGCCTCTACAGCCGGCTCTGCGGCTTGCAGAAACTGCGGGTAAGAGCCGGACCGGGCCGGGGGCAGGTGCCAGGGGGGCAGCTTGTGGCCCAGGACGGGTCCCCACTCTGCCGCTGCCCCTGCAGCAGGAGCTGGTGTTCACCGTCTGCCTTCAGTACTGCTACCGTGGCATGGATGACTTCGTGGAGGAGAGGCGGACGGTGAGCGTGGGGAAGCCGCTCATCGCCAAGCTCAACCTGCGGCTGGTGGCCTCCCCCTCGCCGCCTGGCAGCCCCCTCTCCGCCTCGCCCCTGAGCTGGGGGGCAGCGGGGAGCTCCTGGGTCAACACCCCGGAGGAGAACCTGAGCCCCGAGATCCCCGGCTCCCACGCCCTGTAGAGGGACAGTGCAGGTCCCCCTTGTCCCCGCAGTCCCCTGGGGCCACGTCTGTCCTGCTGCGGGGCTGGGGGCTGGAGGGGACGGACGTGACGTGTGCGGGAGGGGGTGAGCCTGATCCTGGCCTGTGCCAGGGGGTGCGGGGCTCGCTGTGCGGCACGGCTGGGACCCCCACGCAGGGGACTGCGGCTCCGTGCTGCCCTACGTACACAGCGTGGCCCTGCAGGTACGGGCAGTGCCAGCCCCACGTTCCCTGGCACGGCAGCGCCAGCTCCTCATCTCATGTCAGTGCCAGTCCCAGGGGCCAGGACACTGCTGGCACCCTCGGGGCCGGGGGGGACAGGGCCCGGACCCCACGGCTCAGCTGGCGCGAGGCGTCACGCTGGGGCAGGGTTGGGTTCACTCAGGCCTAGCAGAAATAGAGAGAAATAAGGAGATTAGGGGGTAAATCCCATGGGAGGAGATTAGAGGGGGTGGGAGCAGGAGGGCTCCTGCTCTGCCAGGAGGGGCTGGGAGAACCCACCAGTGCCCCCAGTGCTCCCAGTACAGCCCCGGGTGCGGGACTGGGCAGTGAGAGATTTCAGGACAGAATTGGGATCTAGGGCGGGGGGGGGGAAGTGCCTTTCTGCTTGGATTTTTCCCAAACGTGGCCCCACGTGGCAGTGGCCACAAATGATGCAGGGTGTGCCCCACGGGGTCTCAGCAGGGGAAAGGACCAATAAAGAGGGAAGGGCAGGCAGCTCGGCTCTGCTGTGGCTTCTCGGCATCTAAATGTCTTTTTTTTTTTTTTTGTCCAGAAATCCTGCCTCTTTCTGCACAACGAGTAACACGCGGGAGGGAAAGGGCAGTCAACCCCTCCCATGAGGGTACCCCAACGTTCCCCACCAGTGCCACCCCATGCAAATTATCTAATTTAAATAATTTGCATCCCTCCCCCAGCCCCAGGGAGACGCGTCCTCATGGAGGGGCCTCTCCACGCCCTCGCTTTTGGGTGGTGGTTGCAAGGCTGGGGAGGGAGCACCCTCACCCCAATTAGGCTCCGATCAAACGGGTCGGAGGGTGCCGAGCCTCCTGCTCTCCGCGCCAGCCAGCTTTTGTTGGGGCTCGGGAGGCCGAGGGGTGCCCCGGGCTGGCGCCAGCCTCGGCAATTATGTCATGTGAAAAGCGCAGCCCCCATTGAGCGCGTCCCTTCCCCCGGATCAAACCCCATTACTTCCGCGGCCCTTGCTTCATTATCTCCCGGCCCGAGCAGCCTCTGCCTGGGCGCTTCACCTCGGGTCCCGGCCCATTAGCAGGGTTGGGGGGCCGGGGAGCATCGATTATGCATTTAATGGGTTGTAAAAGGTTTAATTGTCACTAACGATGCGGAGGAGCAGCAGCCGGGGGATGGGGGACAAGGAGACGGGTCTCGCTGGGGTCAGTGCCTCGCCTGGCCCAGGGGCCGCTGGTTGGTCCCACCTGACCCCGGGGCTGTGGGGATGTCAGGGTCCGGCCCCAGGGCTGCTGGGTCGGGGGGCACCCCCTCTGGGGTGGCTGGGGGTGCTGGTGCGGAGCAGGGTCTGGCCTGTGTGGGGACATGGGGACGTGGTGGAGCCCCAGCAAAGCCCCAGTTTGTGGCTGCCGTCAGGTCTGAAGCGGGAAGATTTTCTGGGGAAACATGTCGGGTTTTTTTTTGGGGGGGGGGGGAT